AGGAGTCTAATACCTGTGACATCTCTAGTCCCTGGGCTAGTATGTAGCTCTGATTGGTGCTTGATACAGCTATGGATGCATGGCTTGCCTCTAACTCCTCTGTGAGTGGGTTCAGGGCACCACAGTGTGTATTAGCTTTAGAGGACAATGTGTGAGAGATATCCTCCCAAAAGCCCAAACCTCTCGTCACTGTTTGATCAATCTGGGATCCATAGTGAGGTTCTGGATGGGGATTGAAGGCTTGAAGACGACACATCAATATCTCTTCTTGTCTGGAACTGGAGTCCTGACCTGTGGTTGCCCTAGCTAGCCAAAGAGAGGTCCTTTTCTGGAACTCTATAGACAGGGGTTACACTCCCAACTTCCACAAGATGGCGCGCTGGGCCTAGACTTGCTCTGAGAATTCAGATGTCCTGAACTATCACCTGGTCTTCAAGAGCCAAGAAAGGAGGGGCTGAACCAGGCAGGAGGGAAGTGTGGTTAGAGTTCAGCTCCTGGCCTCAAGGTCAAAGCTGATTGGGAGAAAAAGTTGTTGTGTCTCTAATTTTACATTAAAGACATTTTATTTATTATTCTAAACCTTCGAGAGCAAAATGAGCTATGGATTTCTGTGATGACATGGGAGAGGGCTAGATGCTGGCAGGAGGTTGTGGAGGGAGGCTACGAGAGGGGCACAGGTAAGTCAGCACTGGGGATGTCAGGGCATAGCCCTGTGTGTTCCGTGTCCTTTCCTGTCTGCTCCCGGATGCAGCTGCTTTTATCCTGGTTCCCAAGACATCTCTCACTTTGTCACCTTGGCACTGTCCTCCTCTGTCTGTCTTCTGCAATATGCCTCTTGGCAATGGTGCCATCAGATTTACTCAGCAGTGTTATTCAAAACAGGCTTGGAAGTCCTTCCTGGCCTCTACCTTCCTTCCTTCTGTTTTTCATTGAGGTGGGGGAGCTGAGCTTGAATTTTCTGGCTTTGATGAACTTAAGACAGAGAGAGACCCCCCACACACACACACAGACACAGTCCACATGCTAGGGCCCCTGCAGCTCATCTGGCAGAAGGAAAGAGCTAGAAGGGACTTGTTGCTTGGTGGCCTTCCAGGATGCCTTGCTCTCCACCCTTCTCCCAGCCCTGACAACTCAATCCAGCTGACAAGACAGGAAACGGGAGTGCTCGGCAGGCCAGCTGCCAAGAAGGCCACTTTTCCCTCTAGGGAGAAAACAAGGCTGGGGGTGGCTACCCTTACCCCCACACCACACCCTCTCAGGAGTCTCACACTTCCAGCTCAAGTGTTGAGAAGGGGAAGCGAGACCCCAGCCTTTGGCCATGAAACAAGAGAAGCTAATCAAGTAGAAATGGAGCCTGGGGGAGCTTCTGCTGCAACTAGAGCTGCAGGCAAGGAGGGGACAGAAGTCACACCACAAGGACTAAGGGAGGGGTCAAAGAGATCACCATGACATCCAACTTGTGCTACACTGAATGGGTCCTCTAGCTCTAAAGAGAGGGTAGAGGGAGAGGCAATTTGCATTGTGTTTACATTTCATTTGCATACAACTCTTTTGATGTCCAAAGGCACTGAAATTTCCTGCCCTTCCTTCTTTCTCCTTTTCTGTCCTCTGCCTCCTTTTTAACCCCCAGACAGCCTCCTCTCTCAGCCTCTTCTCTGTGGTTTCTCTCTTGCTAACAGAATTAAGCCTGGAGGAATGCCGCTTACCAGGCCAAAGCTCAAAGAAGGTTTCTTGCAGCTGTGTTGGGAAGGGGTGGGGGTGGGGGTCTTAATCCACTCCATCTAATTGAAACAATTATCAAGCAAGATCAGAAGGAAAGAATAGGATGGTCTAGCTCTCCTTTTTGCTCTCTCTCTCTCTCTCTCTCTCTTTCTCTCTCTCTCTCTCTCTCTCTCTCTCTCTCTCTCTCACACACACACACACACACACAGTTCTAGACTGGTAGGCTTGGATCTAAACCCTAACCTTATCATCTCCTGGCTGTGTTAATCTCCCTAAACCTCAATTTCCCCATCAATAAGTGATGGCTAATAACTTTTCATCTAAATGAGTGTTGCCTTAAAATCCATCCAACAAACAAACAAAATGCCCTGTGGGGCCTGGAGAGATAGCTTAATGAAGAAATGCTTACTTTGCAAGCACATCCACCCCAGAATCCATGTAATCCTACTGGTCAGCCAGCCTATGCTATCGGAGGAGTTTCAGGGCAATGATAGACCCTATCCCAGGAAATAAAGTGGCTAGGTACTTCCGGAATGACACTTGAGGTTCCTCTACCCACCCCCCCCACACACACACATAAACAGGAACACACAAGACAAAGATGCTGCATATTCAGCATGGAGCACAGTTCTCCATACTAGGGGAGAACATACTGTTTACTAATGGATAAGTGAAGAGATGAACAATAGCTAAAACAATATTTGCCAACCTCACCCCCTCCCCATCACTGGGACCTTTAAGCTTTGCTTCCAACTATGAACTCCCAAGATCCTGTTTCCTCCTCAGTGCTTACCTCCCAGAGAACTCTACAAACTGCCCCCCAACACACACACACACACACACACACACACACACACACACACACACACACACACAGATCCCAGAATCCTAGGTAGTTCTTGGACATCAATAGATATAAACTTCTCTGGCTTCTAGAATACTAAAGCACAGAGAAAAAACAATGAGATTCTATGTGGGGAAAACTACAACAGGTCCTAGATAAAGTGGTGAACCAGACCCTGAATGCACAGGTCCATGCAAATGTATGCAAATAGAGATATGGGACTCTCAAGCACACAGGGTTCTAGAGACTGGAGCAAGTATTTCTCTGGGATGATGGCAGGTGAGTTCAGTTGTAGATTAAACATTAGGCACAGGGGAAAATGCCAAACAAGGAATGGACAAGGTGTAGAGAAGGAAGGGACAGGCTGAGAGCGTCCTGAGTGAGACTTCCAGGATCATTTGGACTCCAAAAACCCTTGTTGATCTCTTTCCAAGACCAGAAAGAACAAAAAGAAAGTCCCTTCCTTCTTGCCAGGAGGGGCAGGTGGGTTTGACTCAGATAGGCAGTTTGCCCAGCCCTGAAGACTCACTTGTGCACTCCCTACTCCCTTACTTGGCACTTAAAACTTCTCATGTCTGGTGTGCCCAACATTGTTCCAGGACCTGAAGGCAATAGAATGAGGCATCTAGTCAGTAAACAAAAACAAAAACCCAAGAAGTGAGCTAAGCAGGGCCCACACCGACCCCCTCCACACAGGCTGCAACAACTCTCATCATCGTCCAGCATTTTGGATGCATGATGCTCAAAGTTCAGTCCCAGGTGCAGGGGGTAAAAATAGAGAGGAGAGCATCTCCATTTCCCTAGTACCGGACCACTTCCAACTTCAAAAAGAGGGCACACTTGTATTGTTCCCTAGAGAAAACAGAGCACTACTTTAGAACAAAAAATTTCTGTTCTGGGTGTTTATGGGCTATGTAACATGGCAAGTTAAACTCCCTAAGCCTCAGTGTTTCCATCTGTGAAATAGAAATCATGCTACTTCAGGGTGTGGTGGCATGCACCTTTAGTCCTAGCACTCAGGAAGTAGAGGCAGGTGAACCTCTAAATTAGAGGCCAGTGAGTTCCAGGATAGCCAGGGCTACATGGAGAAACCCTGTCTCTAAAAGCCAAGAGGCATGGGGGGGGGGGAGAAAGGAGAAAAAAGGGAATAGAAAAGAAAAAGAGAAATAAAAAGAAATCATGGTACTATTTACAGGACTTAATACACATTTAAATTCAGGAGGATGGAACTTCAAGGCCTAGACTACATAAGGTGACCCTGTCTCAAAAACCAAAAAGGGTTGGGAACACAGCTCAGAGCTTGCTTTACATGTGGAAACATCTTGATTTTGAACCTGTAACAATTCAAAATAATAGTTAGTAATAATAATGGCATTAAAGATGCCTTAAAAGTTTTTCAGCACCATGCCCAGTTAAGAGTGAAAGCCCGGTAAACTCTGGGTATTATGAATGGACATATCAGGAGGAAATAACATTATAAAAAATGCCTTGAGGCAGAAAAGCCCAAGGGCATTCTGAGAAATGGCTTGGGACCAGGGTGATGGGAGTCCTGTCTGAAAAGAAAACAGAAAGTGTAGCTCTGCCTCCTGTCTGCACATGGCTTTGTGAGCTGGCTGGATGCTCCCTGAGACACGTAGTCACTAACTGACATTTGAAAAGTGAGAAGTCTTCCACCAATGCAAGGTGTCCTGGGATCAGAGTCCAGGCTCCATCACTGGGGAACTATGGGCTTTGGATTAGTCACATCCAGTCCCTGGAAGGACAACTGCTAGCATTGGCAAATATTCTCCATATCCTTCTCTCTCATAGCCTGGCACAGGAGGTGAGGGTGGGTAACAGCAGGAAAAGGGGGAAGTCTTGTCTATCTGGAAAGAGTGAGGAGCAGCTGCTGTAATCCAGATCTCATGCTGACAACAGCAAGCTACCTGGAACCAGCCCGGTTTGGTCACCTGGTAGATGCCAGTTATTAACACAGGCCCCATTTTACAGATGCTTAAATGAGATCAGGGAGATGAACAGTGTGACCCTAGCCACTGGGGTGGTAAACGGTTGGAAGGGAAGATTATAAGACCATTCTAGGATTTTAAGCATCCCTTGGCTTCTCCAAACTCTTCCGGGTTCTCCTTAGTACTGCTTACTTTTCTTGAGCCCAACCTGGCAGTTCCCCGAAGGGGCAAGCTACCCCAGGAGTGTGAGGTACTGAGGGCATAATGGGGAGGGACTACCAGGCGGGATCTCAACAGACAGGTGTTCCTCAGGGTCGAACCCGCCCAGGCAGCACCTCGACACTTCTCTCCGGGCCCCCAGCTCCATGTATGCAAATCGCTGTTTTGCATGGGCCCAGGGCCAAGCGCGGGGGCCCTGCCAGGGGGCGTGGCCGAGGCCCCCGCCCCGCGCCGCGTGCTCACCTGGGGAGTATGCTAAGCTGGCCGGAGCAGCAGAGCACGCGACTGAGGTAGCAGCGGCTCCCGCAGTGGCGGCAGCTGAGGCGGTAGAGGGCGGGAGAAAGGAGACCCTGGCTTCCTCGGGGACCAGGCTGGGGCAGCCGCGAGGGACCTGGGGGGGCGCTGGCTTTGGCCCCGCCTGGGGCAGGATGGTGAATCTGGAGCCCATGCACACAGGTGAGGGGCGGAGGGAAAGAGCTCCGACAGGTGTCACTGCGCGTGGGAAGGGACCAAGGACGAGGACACCATTGCACTGCGCGAGGGGCTGTGAGGGGGCTAACTCCCCGGTAGCCAGGAGAGGGCGATGTGGATAGCGGGTTCTTCGGGGCGAGAATAAGTAGGTGTTGGGGGTAAAAGAGGCACTATGAAACCTTGGAGAACAACGGAGAGGGGCATGAAGTTCCTGAAGCCCCAGATCTGGGGCGTTAGACAGTGCGTGGGACTTGGGTGTGCTGAAGTGCTGGAGTCCCAGGAGGTTGCAGGAGAAGGGTGGTTCACTCACTCAGCTAGGGTGTGGACCTGGGAGTGCATACGTGTATCCACATGCTGCGTGTTTGGTGTCCCGGCACCTGTGTGAAATGCAGGCAAAGTGGGCATGGGGGGGTGCGTAGGGGAAGTGGGTAGGGCGGAGCAAATCCAAAGGCGCACCTGGGGCAGATGCCATGCCCCGGGATCCTTCATTGATTAGGACTTGTGCAAGCATGTATTTATGTCAGGAGTGTCTGATTGTCCCCTATGTGTGCTGGGAGAATTGGTGGAGCAAACCCCAAGGAACCTAATGAGTCTTGGACCACACATGTTCCAGATGTGTCTGAATGTGTTGCTGGTGTGTCCACTCACGTTATCCATCTGTGCTATGGGCTCGGTGCACAGTGGGCCTGTATCCCTGAGGAGATGGTGACAGGCACATCTGAGCCCATGACCTCCTTTCCTGAGGGAGCCCAGGAAGGCCAGGAATGGACAAATGAGAGGCGGTTGTGGAGGGCCCAGGACCCACCATTCATTCTCTGATCCTTCCATCCACAGCTGGGCTAAGGATGCTATGAAGTTGGACTTGGTGATGAGGGTTGAGGTGGGGAGGGAGGATGTTCTGATTAGCTGCCTGGGGTGTTGAGCAAGGAACAGAATCAAAGTGAAAAAAAAAAGCTGGAGCTAATTTAGCTATCAAAGCCTAGCACCTTACCTCTCTCACACAGTGCAGTGACCAAGTAATTTTTCTTTAGGACTAATTGTTCTAGAAGAGTGGGGGGGGGGAGGAAGAAAGCAAATCTTTTTTTTTTATTTTATTATGTATGCATTGGTACTTTGCTTGCCTTCATGTCTGTGTCAGAGTGTCAGATTCCCCTGGAACTGGAAATTCGGACAATTGTGAGCTGCCATATGGATACTGGGAATCGAACCTGGGTCCTCCAGAAAGGCAACCAATGCTCTTAACCATTGAGCTATCTCTCCAGCCCCGAAAGCAGATCTTTTGACCCACCCCACAAAGCAAAACAAGCTAGATCTTCCCTTCTCCCCACCATTCCTAGAAAGAGGTCTCAGTGGGGGTCCAAGGGGCCCACAATGCTTAGTTCTACTAAAGCTTCTCAGCAGGGTTAAGTGCAAGGGTAGCTGGTGGAGAGATGTTGGCACCCAGTGGCTGGTGCCCCAGGATTTGCCAGGAAGGACTAGGTGAGGCTGAAGGAGCCATCCAACTGGGTGTCATCCAGTGTCTGAGGAAAGTTTTCAGATCCAAAGCCCTACAGTGGAGCTGAAAGTAGCTGGGGACAAGGGCAGGCATTTCATCCCTCATTTCCTATCACGTAGGCCAGCATTCAAATGGGAATTAGTGTTGTCCAAAGGTAGCTCAGTAGAAAGTGGGGAGTTCTTTAGAACTAAGATCAGGGACTTCCTGGGGGGTTTCCACCTCCCTGTGTACCAGAGGCTTCTGCCTAGGGAAGTGGGAGGAGGCGGAACAGCTGGATCCTGGCAGGGTAGTAGCCTGGGAACTGGGTGGACCTGGTAGAGAGCAGGAGAGGGGAGGTTGGGAAGAGAAGGCCAAGCCTTCCACCCATGCTAGCCCCTGGTGGATGCTTCTCAGAGATCCCATACAGCCCCTCTGCTCTACATTGCTGTGAGCAGTGTGCCAAACCCAAGATGGGGTGCTTCCTCAGATGGGGGTTCACCTGCCTTTGTGTGCATTGCCTGACTTATCTCTCCATTTGTCTTGAAGGCCTCTCTGCCATAGTCTTTCACCAGCTCCTCCAGGGTGGTTGTCTTCCTCCATGTCTCTCATGTCTTGGCCCCTCTGTGGTGTGTGCTCACTGTTCAGTGGCATAAGCAGAGGTCTCTGGGTTTGGAACTGTCTGCGCTATGCTTGCTTTCTCAGCTCACAGTCTTTGTTATTTGGGACAAGGTCTTGCTTTGTAGCTCACTTATCTCAAGCTCAAATTAATCCTCCTGCCTCAGCTTCCCCAATTCTTGGATTATAGACATAAGCCACTATGCCAGGCTTTTGAGGTCATTGTAGGGCATTTCAGCTGTGTGTATGGAGGGAGGGATACCCCCTTTCTGTGCATTGTCTCATAGTCTCCTTCCCTGGGTGGGTCTCTTACCTGGGGTTCCCTTTATTTTAGAAACTTGGTGTATTTTAGTCCCTCCATAGTAATCTCATATTCTGCTGTTCCTTGAAGACTGACATGGCCTCTAGAATAACCAACCCCAGGCCCTTAGAATGGCTCCTGGTTGGTTTCCTGAAGTAGTACCAGTGTGGAAAGAGGAGAATAGCAATCCACAAACCTGGACATACATTTGCTCCTGGATCCCCATTCAGAGGGCTCTATGACTGTGTGGCCCCTTAAGTCAGCTCTGTGTTCTTGCTCTGATGGCCTGGGGAAAACTCTGGTTCAGGTTTGCCACAGCCTCCACTCTGTGTTCTTACAGAACTTTCCCAGTGGAGCCTGGAGATCAGAGCAAGTAACACAGGAGTTCTCAGATAGAGAGGGGCTTCCTGTACTCAGGGCTAAAGGGACAGTCAAGAACCAGTCAGCTAAGAAGGGACAGAGGTGGCATAGTCAGCCAGAGGGTCCCAGTGCCTAGCCTTGTGGGTCTTTCTGTTTCTCACTGTCAGCTAGGGGAGGGAGGCCAAGTGCCCCAGACCTGTTCTTGATGGAGCTCAGGAATGCCATTTGGACTAAAAGACCTGTCAGAGAGAAGAAGAAAAAAAGTCTACACTAGTGGAGTTGGATCCTTGGCTGGCCCAGAAGTGGCACTGGAGGGTCCCAGGAAGTCCCCTTGTAGAGGAACCCACAAAAGCAAGTGTTTGAGGAAAGGTCCCCTCCTAGGATAGGAATGGGGACTAGAGGAGAGAGGGGTGGGGCTCCTGTTTGCTCAGAATAGCCTGGACGCAGGAGGACACAGCCTGCTGCCTGGAGACAGCACTGCCTTGGGATGCTTGTCCAGATGTCTACTGGGGGAATTTCTTCTGACCAGACCACAGGAAAGCCAGGCCATCTTCACCATGACAATGCTAGATGAGGCAGATTGGGGTCTACATGAGGTATCTGGGCACTTACACTCAGCAGCTGAGTCTCCCCAGGGAAGGGAGGGTGGCAGAGAGCCGACTCAGGCAGACTAAGATAAGAACACAGCCGAGCAGGCCCCACCCCACACCTCTCTCGATCACCCCCGGCAGTGCTGTCCGACAGGTGAAGGGTTACTGCCAGCGTCTCAGGGAGTTTCGGTGTTGGCCCATTTTTAGGCTGAGACCCAAGGGTTCTTCCCACCCATCAGCATCAGCCTCCTACCCAACAAGAACAGGTTCTTAGCATCTGAACATGCTGGGGACTGACAGAGGGAGAAGTTTCCAGGTTATCTCACTCTGCCCCTCAAGAAGCCCCACCCTCTGTCTGGAAAGGCAAGCTGTCACTAGGTCAAGGCAGCATAAGGAGCCTTGGAAGTCTTTAGGAATAACTTTTAGACACGATTAAGCTTTATGTTTGTTTAAAGGACAAATGAGAAGGCTTCTTGGTTTAAAGAAATAGAGGGAAATGGGTATTAGAAGAAAGCTGGGGTGATGGGCAACAAAATAAGGCTCAGCTCAGCTACCTGTGTAAATCATCCTCATGGTATAGGCATGTATTCCCAGCTACTCCTGGGAGGCGAAAACAGGTAGGCTACAAGTTCAAGTTCTCAATGAACTAGAGTGAGTCCAAGGCTAGCCTGGACAACATGAGACCCTGCCTCAAAAGAAATATCTCTGGGGATGTCTCAATGGAGCAGGAATAAGACTATAGTTCTATTTTAAGTAACAGACATACCAAGGTATCTGTTTAAATGTTGACTTGGGAACTCTGATGATCATGGCTTTTTCACTGTCTCTCAAGCTTTTCCTGTCCCTATGAGCAGTTTCTCTGTGAAGGTGGAATCTGGAGAACTGCAATGACTTCCTTGGTGAAAGACAGTTACAGAGGTGCCAGACTGAAAGCCACAGGTGTCCTGGAAAATCGGGAAGGGCTAAGGAAGGGATACAACCAGGATGCAAGAGGGGACTGGGACTCCTTACGTCTAAGCCAATGGTATTTAGTAGACACCCACTTTATTTCCATTCATCGTTTCATTTGATCTTGTCCTTGCCTCTGGAAGGTGTGTTCACCATCCCTGGTTCTGGATGAGAAAATTCATATTGTCATTTGTAGCTAGGGTCCCCTGGCTACCTAATGATGGCATCGAATTACACTCTGGTTTGTGGGCTGCCAAAATCCACGCTCTGAAGTCCTGACTCCTACCTCTGCTAAGGCAGATTCAAAGCCAGTGGAGGAAGAGATTTTCTCTCTTGTGCCTTCCCAACAGGCTCTGGTTTGGGGCGTTTTCTCTGCACTACAGAGGAATCCCTGTGGTGAAGTGTAGGGTACAGATAGATGGGTGTTAGGCATTGCCCAGTTCCAAGCTATGAAAAAGTGAAACCCGTTTTCCCAGCAGTAGTAAGTGAATTTCGGCAGAAGCCCCTGCTAGTTCTGTACCTGTATGCATATATGTATACATATATGTATACACTATAGTGTCTGAAAAATTAACATCTGTTGCAGGAAAGACTAAGGTTCAAGGAAAGTCTCCCAGATACAGAGCAGACAGGGTGTTCATGAGACTTCCATACCTCTCCCCCCCCCCACCAGTGCAGCATGACTGCCTGAGAAAGATCCTACAGAGCTCTCACTGTATAGCCTGGTGTCTTCCTTCTATAAGCAGTGCCCTCCAACCCAAAGGGATTCCTAGGGTGGCCTTATTTCTTCCTCTACTTCTGGTGCATTTGCTGAAGTCTGCATCTCTGCTTTTCCTGGCACTGCAGTCACTTCATTACAGTCATTACAGAGCTGTAAATATATTTAAGAGCTATACACATTATAGCCATACCAAAAAGAAAGGGGCAGCGCTTTCTCTCCTCTTTTCCTGGGGCTGAGATCCACTTTTTCCCTCATCCTGATCATCTCCAGACCTCGGAAGTCCACGATGCCAACTGCCTGATTACCTGATGCAAATTAAGGCTGCCTTCTTGGCTGGGATTGGCTGAGGAGACTCATATGCAAATTAACTCACCAATACTTTATCTGGTTTGTAAGAGTTAAAGTGCTGCCCCAGAGAAAGGGGTGCAATGGGGGGGGTTCCATACAATTTGAATAAAATATTCTGTCTTAAACGGCAGGATTTGGATGGTTTAATAAGGAGAGGAGCTGAGAGAACAATTTCAAAATTGCTTCTTTTCCTCAGCTGACCAGGGAGGAGGTTTAGGGCCTCTTAGGTGGCAGCTATCTGTTATGGGTAAATGTTTAATTTATTGCAATGCAGCAGAGTGGAGAGTCCAGAGCAGTATCATTCCGGGGCTGACATGGGACCCTGAGCAGATTTGCTTTCTCAGCTGAGCAGTTTGGAGGAATAAGAGAGACAGGAAGGAGCCTCAGAGGGCAAGATTTCTGAGAAGGGTGGCAAGGACTTAGTATTTGATTCCCCAGGCAGTACACTGACCTCTGAGAACCAGACAGGCAGTGGAATTGGGGACAGGAAGGTAAGAGGGGCAAACTTTGGTTAAAGTATGCTTACCTTCTAGGGCAGCCTTGTTAAATAGAATGGGGAATGAAAGAGTATTATCATTATTTTATTTTATTTTATTTTATTTTTTTTTGAGACAAAGCCTTCCTCTCTAAGTTCAAGGCTGGTCTGACCTAGCCTCCTGAGTGCTGGGTTTATCGGCACATGATGCCACACCTGGATTTCTATGAAATTTTAAGAGGATACATTTCCCTGATTCCAAAAGAAATTAAGGCTGGGGATGAGCAGGGATGCCCCCCCCATCCTTATTCTTGTTAAATTTTAGCCACTGTGTCTAGGTGATGAGAGGGTGGCAATGGATGATGCAGAAGGTGAGAGACCCTGCAGTAGCTGTGGAGAAATACAGGAAAGGTTGGGCTAGAAAGATGGTCCAGGAGAAGGGGATTTGTACCTCCAAGCTTATGAATATTCTAATGGCTGTGTGTTCGGGAATCAGGAATTTGAAAGTCTGATGGTTGTGGTAATTACACATTCATCTTTGCTGTTTAGTTGAAGCCACATATGTCACAGCAAGAAAAATGGTGACCCGTTATTAAAATCAGTGTTGTTTTCCCTGCAGAGATTAAGATGAGTGGGGATATCGCAGATTCAACGGATGCCCGCAGCACTTTCAGCCAGGTGGAGTCAGGTAAGGCGTTCTCTTCTGGGGATGAAAGGTTGGGAGACACTGTTCAGTATGTGGTGTCTCTACCCGCTCAGCATTTCAGATCCCAAAGATGGATCTTGGGCCCTACGGTACTTCCCTGGAAATACCAGGGCATGAGTCTGGGGCCTTGGAATAATAGATATTAACCTTGGTAGAACAAATCTCTGGAACCAGGCCAGGAAGGAGCCAGAGCCTTGGGAACAAAGGACAGAAAGTTATTGGGAAAGAGTCACTCTTGAAGTGCTGGACATCAAACCCAGGGCTTTGCACATGGTAGGCAAGTGGCATTCTACCACTATATCCTGTGACACAGTGTGTGTGTGTGTGTGTGTGTGTGTGTGTGTGTGTGTGTATGTGTATGCATGCACATGCATGCACAAACACATTAAATCCAGAGCTTTACCATGATGGGAAAATCCTCTACCACTGAGCCATACTCCAGCTCTTTAATTTTATGTTGAGACAAAGTTTTGCTAAATCACCCATGCTGGTCTTAAACTCACTATGTAACTCAGGCTACCCTCAAATTTGAGATCCTCAGCCACTTCAGCTTATACTCAGCTGATATAAGCATCTGTTTCATAAAAAGAAAGACTTTATTTTTTATTCTGTTATTGTTATGTGTGTATAATATGTATGCATGGGTGTACACATGACATGTATGCATGAGTATTGGTCAGGGGACAACTTTGCAAAATTTCTTCTGCCTTTACACGGGTTCTAGGGATGGAACTCAGGTCCTGAGGTTTGCACTGAGCCACCTCACTCGGCTGTGATTCATGCCTTGATGTGCCGTCCTAACACAGAAACAACAGGCTGTACTGCAAGACTTGGAGAGAATTTGACTTTGGTGGAGGTAAACCAGGGTCTTCCATCCCTAACAGGGTTTCTCTTTGTAGCCCTAGCTGTCCTAGAACTACCTCTGTAAACCAGGCTGACCTTGAACTTACAAAGATCTGCTGGTCTCTCCTTTTGAGTGCTGGGAGCAAAGGCGTGCACCACCACACCTGGCTTCCATCTGAGGTTCTTAATAGTCTTTCCTAAAGAACTAAGCAAACAGCCTGTGTACAAATGTTGGCCTTCTAAGTGGCGTGTGTGTAGATGGTATGTGAGCTCTGAGAAGGATTGGTGCCTAGACATGGTTTTGCCTTGTGAAGAAAAGAAAGGAGACAGGAAAGAATTGAGATCTTTCTTTCTTCTCTCTTGTTTTCACCATAGCCCAAACCTTGGTTTGAAAATGCAGTGTAATTAAAACGAACTTGAAGAAAGATAACTAGAAAGATAACTTTAATAGCCTCCCAACAAGGCCCCAATTAGTGTTTCATCTGGATCATTAGAGACACCGAAGTGAGGTGGGGAAGAGAATCGATGTACTCTAAAACTAAAATCTCTCAGGTGTCCTGGATCATTCTAGTTCTTGAAGCTAAAAGACAGAGAGGATAGTAGGGGGGAGAGTGGGGAGGGGTGTCTTGAGAATACACTTGCTATAGATTTTTCTGCTCTTCGGTTGAACAATGAAACAGTTTCGGTAGCAATGCATGAAGAGCTACAGTCTTTATGTTCTGCTTTGCATTGAACAGCTGGACTAAAGAGTGTGGACTGGTTGCTCTCATTTTGGGGTGCGGTCCACCCCATCATACTGATGATTGAAGTTAGGTACATAAGCATAGTAATCAAGTACTCTACCACTGAGCTATATTCCTAGCCTTGTTTACTGCTATTGTTTATTTTTACACAGTGTTTTGCTAAGTTGTCCTTGAACTTGCTCTGTAGCCCAGACTGGCCCCCCAAATTTATAATCCTCCTGTCTCAGCCTCAGCTTGGTTTACAGGCCTGCTTCATCATCAAGCCTGACTTTAGTCAGTTTCTTGGTGTCATATGTGTTACAAAGGTTGGTGGAGAACGTAATAGTTCTTAATTTCCTTCAATCTCAAGAAGCTGAGATGAGCTCTGCTGAAGGTTGCTGAGGGCTGTACCTGTACTAATGCTCTACCCTGGAGAAAAGTGGAGTTCAGAGCAGTGACTGTAGAGAAACTGTGCCTTTCCTGGAACCAACTCTGTTCCCCCAGGCTCCATTGGCCAAGACAACACTGAGCATGGCTCACACGGGAAAAGACCACCCTTATCAATGGAACTGGGCTTTGCTATTAGTTAACTTGACATAGTTGGGGATCAGTTTGAGGAGTCAGAATGAGACACCCGAACCCTGACAGTGAGCCGGGGAGGTGAGGCTTTATCCATAGGAGGAGGCCAGAAAGTCCTTGTGCTATGTGTTGCTTGGGAAATTCTAATCTCCTATTCGGGACTGTGGGAATTATGTACTAAGATAATTAAGGGAGAGGGAATTGAGGAATAATCTAGCAATGCCAGAGTCCATCTTGACATGCTGCCAACCTCACCTGACTCTTTGCCTCTTAAAGGACATGGTTTCAAATCAAACAGACCTGGGGTAAAAAGCTGGCAAACATGCCAGGCAGGGTTCTGCTTTTCTGTAACCAACACTCAGAAGCTGAATTGAGAGGATGGACAGCTGGAGAATTCCAGGCCAGCCTGAGTTCTTGCCTTTCCCTCCACATGCCAAGAAAAAGCCTACAGACAGAACCACTTACTAGCTACTTGGTGTAATAATTCATCCTTTTCACTACGTGACAAGAGAAAATGAATTTTGTCTTAGAGGGTAGGCTGATGATAGACTGAGGTGTAAATTCAGTCATCAATGTCTTGTTGTTTTCATTTTGTTTATTCAAGACAAGACCTCACTCTGCAGCGCTCTGGCTATACCTAGATGTGTAGACCAGGCTGGCCTTGAACTCACAGAGATCCCCTTGCCACTGTCTACAGAGTGCTGGGATTAAAGGCATGTGCCACCATGTCTCAGCTGCCACTGCCTTTTTGAGCCACAAAAAGAGGAATTTAAAGTGCCTGGTGCCTTGGAGGTCAGAAGGTGTCAGATCCCCTGGAACTGGAATTTGGATATTGAGCACTAAACCTAGGTCCTCAGTAAGAACACCAATGGCACTTAACCACTGAGACATCTTTCCAGTTCCCATCACCACTGTGAGTCTGTAACCCTGGGTAGTACTGGGAAGGGCCATAGCTCTTTCCCCTTCACCCAAGCAAGCTCAAAGGTTGGTTTTGCTCTGCTTACCAACCAGGAAAAGATTTTATGTGGTCCCACTACTCCTGAGAGATTGTGATGCCCTTCTTCCACCTCTGCAGAGTTTTCCTGCCCTTCCATCTAACCTTCAGGGCTTTGCTCAATGGGAGAATTAACGCTTAGGTGAGCCTAAATTAAGGGCAAGGAAAAAAGAAGTAGCTAATTAAAAGTAACCAAACTTCCTGGAAAGTCATTCTGACTTTTTTTTTTTTTTTTTTTTTTTTAAGTGTGGAAAGCTTATTACCAGTTACAATGGTTACCAGCTTAGTTTAATGGTTTCCTTTGAATTTTTAAAAGACACATTCACCTCCCCAGCAGGGCATGAGTTAATGGGTGGTTTGTCTCTGGGTTTTAAAAGACCTATAAGATGACCTAGAAAACCCCTGTATACTGGAGAGCACCCACGGTATTGTGTGAAACCCCTAGGGCATTAGGGCTGGGAGCTTGGGAAAAGGAAGTGAGTTGTCCAGTGTACTCTGAGTTGGCGGGAAATCCTTGGAGAGCTTCTCAGACCTGCAGGGCAATTCATCCTTCCCCTCTTCTGCATAGCCAAGGACAAAATGCTCAGCTTCTTTCTTTTGCTAGAATCCCGTCTCCACACCCCCTAAACTCCCTTCCCACAGCAGGTACTGAAGCCTACCTCCTGCTCTATGGCCAGCAACTGGCTTTTTGTTAATTCCTATTACTCTTTCCCTGCTGCTACTCTACCTTTACTGTGTTTTATTTATTTTGCGGCACTGGGGTTTGAACCTAGAGTCTCAGGCATTCTAAGCAAGCATTCTACCACTGAACTATACCCCTTGCCATATATGCACATGGAACCCAGGGGACACATCTTTTCTCAGCTACCAACCTTGTTTTAATGTTTTGTTTGATTGGTGAGGCTAGCTAGCCAGTAAATCCCTAGGCTCTTCCTGCCTGAACCTCTGTTCCAGCTCTGGGATTACAAGAACATGCTACAATGTTTGATTGTGGCGGTTCCAGGGATCCAATTCAGGTCCCAATGTTTAGGTGGCAAGCCAACTGTTTGTCTGTTTTTGAGGCAACCAGACTGGCCTGAAACCCATGTAGCTTCAGGCAGGCTTTCTGCCTCAGACTCTTGTCTCCTCTTTTCAGCAAAACAATTGAATAAAAATATATCGGGGCTAGAGAGATGGTACGGTGGTTAAGAGTACTGGCTGCTCTTCTAGGGGACTTAGGTTCAATTCCCAGCACCCACATGGTGGTTCACAACCATCTGAAATTCCAGTACTGGATGATCTGATGCCCTCTTCTGACTTCTGAGGGCACCAAACATACCCTTGGGCTGTAACTGACAGCCCCTGGCACCTTCAGGCTTTTGACCATGCTGATCACTTGTAGGCTCAAACACAAAAGAAGAAAGGCAAAACCAAGATCAGGATGAAGGAAGGAAAGACCCAGCACAGCATATACTCCCTCTTGCCTGGCCATATAGAAAAGCTTTATGGACATTGTCTCATTGAAGCGTTACAATAAACATAATCAGCCCTATTTTCCCCAACAAGGAAATTGTGGTTGAGAATAAAAAAATTGAATTGTTTGGAAGCCAGACTGGAACTCACACTGTGTGATACCACCAGGTTCTTTCTCATCCTGGCTCTGTCATGAACTACCTGCATATTTGGCTAACATTCCTGCAGGGACCTTTAGTTTCTTCTTTGCTTTGGGTTGCATCATCGGGGAAGGCTGACGTGTAAAGTTTGCTATCAGCATGCTTTCCCATGAGTTTGCACCTCTCTTAGGTGCATGTAGGTCTTCCAGCGAGTTGAGCACTGGCTCACAGCTCCCCCCTCCCCGAGTGTTC